TAGCAAAATTCCTGTTTGCTGGAGTGATAAAACAGCAGCTTAGAAAGAAAGTTCTTGCTGAAGCATAAAAGTTACAGATGTAATGATGAAGGTTCAGCAAGTATCCAGCTAAAATCACGTGACAGGTCATTTGAGGATGATAGTCTGGCTGCTGACTGAGATTTTTGAGACTTTCCTTTTCTAGATTCTGCTGAACAATCCCAGCTAGTGATTGCTCTTATAAATATTTAGCAGCATCTGTTTTGCCTTTTAGGATGGATGAAATTTGGCATTTCCCATTATTTCTCACAGTTTCGAGTGCTGATTCATACGATCTTTTTGGAAGCTGAACACTGAACAATAAACTCCATTGCTGCAGCGACACAGGAGCACTGTTAGACTGTTCCTTGCAGCTGCCCCACTGAGGGCACGTCGATTACATGTTCTGTTTACACTCACAATGCAGGAACTCACGTACCTCCAGACCATCCATTTGTGCCCACCTTACACTGTGTGGGGCAGCCCAGGAACAAAACCTATCTCACAGATCTTTGTGGCACTTCTTCTGACCCTGGACACAACTCACCTGCATCATTCATCCCCAGAATCCTCCAGCCACAGTATAAAGAGAACTATCCGACTTGTACCTTCTAGCAAAAGGGGGAAGAATGTGTGTCCGAGCATCCATTTGAGAGTAGCAGAGAAGAACAGGGAATTAGAGAGCTAAGCTACCACTCAGGAAGCAAGGCATATTATTTCTCTTCACCATGGGCCTAACAGCAATCTCCCAGCACCTGGAAGGAGGTTACAGAGAAGACAGAGACAGACAGGCTCTTCACAGTGACAGGAGGCTAAGATACAATAAACGAAAACCATGGATGTTCCAACACACGGAAAAAAATTCTTCACAAGGACAGTCAAACACGGAAACAGGTTGCCACAAGAGGCTGTGCAACTGTTGTCCTTGAAGGTCTTCAGGACTCAACTGGAATAAAAGCCCTGAACAATCTGGTCTGAATTCAGCGTTGACCCCACTTTGAGCAGAAGGTTGGCCAAGATGACTTGGCAAGTATGCCAAATGAATCTGATGTAAAAGGCGATCTCAAAATAGTTCAAATCTCCAAATTAGAGTTGCAACCAAATTCACTTAATTGCTCACATTTTAAACGGGGCAGTGTTATTTTAAAATAATACATATACTTTAATTTAGAAAAAATACCTAGCACTTATGCAGCTTTTTTTCAATATATATTACAGTATATACTGTTCAATATATATTACAGTATATATTTTTTCAATAGATATTATAAATTCTACATGAAAGCAAAGAATCATTGCTATTTTATAGGTTAGTCACAGCAATGAAAAATAAATTTTTCTTGCACTAAGTTGCTCAACCAAATCAATGACATAGCAAGAAACAGAACATACAACTTCTCATGCCAGGACTCAAAATCACTGGATTCTCAACTTCAGTATTTTTTAAACCTTAATTTTGAAAATTTAGACCTTGCTATTTTGCCATATGAATATGTGGAAGTTTTGATATATGTGGTATCACCTTGAACTCAAGTGTTTGTAGTATGGTTTCTTTGCTTGTATACAAACTAAAAAATGGGTTACAGAGAAGCATGTCAACGGAAACACTGCTAATGCTGTAAACACGCAGCTCTGGGAAGTAAACAGAAAGCTATCGTTCGTATTAACCAGTTAAAAGCTCACCATAAAGTCAGACGTATGGATTCTAACTATACAGGCAACTGAATAAGCAGAACCAAAAACTTCAGTAACTGCAAGTCTGAAACTGCTGCAGTAATGCCCAAACCAGCCCCCTTCCAAATAGCCTCATGTTATCCTTACCAGGTTGATCAGTCTTCTCATTGCATGTTCATGTGAGCAAATGCATTCACAAGGATCAAATCCACCTTCTGCCATGATTCTCTGGATAAAACTGAACTTGATTGTGAACACCTAAGAAAAATAAGAATAAAAGGACAATGAGCTCTTTTGCAACTGACCTTCTTTTCCAGAGACTCACACATCAGATTTCAGTTCATTTAATGCCAGGGTGAAAAAGCAAAACAAAGCAGGGTAATCCTATTATTCCTTTGACAGCATGAGTGAAGAAGTCTGGTATGTGCAGTTACATTTTACTGTTGCTGGAAGTAGTGTCTCACACAGGCTTCCTTACAGAGTCAAACAATTTTTTGCAAGAGTTTGTGCCCCCCCACCCCGGGTTTTCAGGCATGTCTACAGGAAAGATAACTTAACAAACAAGAAATACAAGGACTGTATTGTGGTCTCTCATCTGCCTAGTGGAACTCTTAAGTGTATGAATCCAATTTGAAAAGTCAGAGGAACTTGGGCTTAAACCCCTTAAAACTGTTGACCTTCTTCCTCTGGATCAATGTACAGGAAAATAATTTAAAACTCCATAAATTCTTTGCTACAGGAGGAAACTATCATCCTTATTGTTCAATGAAAGCAAGCAGCAGGAGTGCAAAAACAGAGGTACTTGGAAGCACTTTCAAAACGAAGCTACGCACACTAATTTTAGATCAAAGAACTAGGTCATTCAGTTAGCAATACAGAAAGTTCAAAGAAACTGTAATGGACACAGTAGGGAATCCATCCTGTGCTATTCATCTGCTAGAACCTGTTCCACACCAGACACATCGCGATAGTACGAGAATACCTTTACCATTTAACGATAGTTTTCTCAGTGACTTAAATGATGGTAAAAACAGGGAGCCGACTGCCAGAAATTTCTACCCCAGTGGTCAAATTACGGATTTGTCTTCCCTAATAAGGGCTCTTACAATGCATCAGATCAGTTCTGCAGAGCGATACTTTCAAAAGAGCGTTAATTTCATATCAGCAAGGCTAAGTTCTGACCGTGTTCATGTCGCACACTCTGGAGCCCTCGGTGGTGGGATAACTGGCAGGTTTAATAAATGCAGGCATATGGAGCAGATACAGCCTCTCCACTACTCCTAAAATGAGTAGTTTATGAAGGTGCCAGCCATTTGGTAAGGCTAGGCAAAGAATATGCCTATCCGGATTCAGTAAGTGTGCTGAATCAGCACATGTGCTCTGCAGCCCTCACCTATAAAAATATATGGCCATGACTACACATAACCATTTGGACGTTTTAACCTCACTAGCCGAAAGAGTAACAACCTATACTGCTATAAGGCCTCTTTATACATGAGAATGCATCACCCTAACAGTTCTTTTATCTTGGGGGAAGGAAGAGATAAAAACGAGAAAAGGTATTTCAGAAGTCCTCCCTTCCTTTCCCTGTCAGTGCCTGCCATTCTTTTGTATTAGTCTCTGCCATTGTGCAAAGGGCCAGATGGTGAAAGAAGTTGAGATATCTATACCTGCTTTATCAAGCCTGAACTTCAGTGACCTTATCTGCTAGGGTTTCCACGTTTTAAAAAGGATACTGAAAACTGAAAGAGAGCAAACACGTATGAGAGGGATGGAGAAAAGACTTTGTGCCTGGACCCTAAGAAAGTTTAATCTAACAATTTATTGAGAAGACAATTGAGACATGACTTGATTACGTAGCGCACGAATACCTTTGCATAGGGAAAAAAAAAAAAGGATATTGAAAATTTCTTTAGCGAAGAGGGGAAAATCCTAACAAGAATCAATGTTTGGAGGCTGTAATCAACCACATTCAAAGAGGAACAAGGCACACATTTTCACCAGGAGGGTGACCGATGAGTGGAACGAACTGCCAAAGAAGAGGTGGACTTCCTATCTTTTCATGCATTCAGATGATGTGCTTCAACAAAATACAGGTTATTGGGTAAAGTACAGAAACAACCAAGTTTAGATGTAATGTTCTCCAATACAGAGGAGATCAAAGCAGATGATCTAATGATACCTTTTGACAGTTAATTATAAAGCTACTACACTAAAACTTGTGAAGTTTTCTCAGAAGCATTGGAACTGCATGGCAACAACAGAAGAAATTTTTAACTACACGCATTCTCTGGATGACACATCACTTCAGTGCTTACCTGTCACGCATGCTAAAATAGTTCCAGAAAGGTTATTCTGGCAGATTTACTCTGGACATAATGCTGACAATCAAAACCAAGTACTTGAACCAGTAAAGCTGTAAAATCATATTTAATTTTCACTTGAAAGGATTTAGGAGTCAATAACACATAGTAATGACACAATAGAGGTGGGTGTTAATCTCTATATGACTAGGATAAATCAGAACATCAGAAGGGAATCATCATCAACGAAACCAGGATAGCATTCTTCATAGAGCAGACAATGAGAAAGATTAGACAAAAAATGAGGAAAATTAATCTCATAGGTAACATCATAAATGTAAGTGTTGTTGTGCTAGGAAGGAATTTACCCCAAGGCATCTGAATTTTACATGACGAATTACCTTAATGAGCTAAAATAAAGCAGAACACATGTCACAAACTTAAATGCCATCCAAGCTTTCTCACCTTCACGCAATGCTTAAAGGAATCATCATTTATCTTTTTCCACTTCAAGCCTTTAACAAACTCTTTTGCGGGGAAAGGATCAAAGATGCACCATCTATTTTGGGAACAGCACTGTGTTTTTCTCTCAAAGAGAAGCTAAAATTGGGTTATTTTTATACTTAAAAAAACCATATTAGCAATTCCGTTATGTAATTACTTTTTGCTGGGAACTGAAGGCTGACCAATCATAATGGAGAGAAAACCACCCCAAACTATATGATGACTTTCACTTGTAAGATAACACTGTCATATTTGTTACGTCTTATTACAAATTTTTTTTTGCTTAATCATAGTCTTATTTGTAATACACTCTCAATGCATAAAGTACGAAAGCACTGTATCGTGCTAAGCACTGTAGCACTGTACTAAATCAACTAAGCACTGTAGTTAGATCTTTAGTTTATAAACGTTTCATGAACCCGTGTAAGATTTGATAGTAAGAGACTAGTATTTTCAGGATATAACTGAGCAGGATTCCTTGATTGCACTGTCTGCTTTTAGGCAGCCTGTTCGCTTGAAAATCCCGTTGCAGCATTGCAGCGTGCTTCCGGTCTGCCACCCAGCACTCGCAACTGCCTGATCTCCCGTCAGCTCCTAACCCGTTCTGCCCAGCTCTGGACCTCCCCGCTGTGAGTCACGCCAACTCTCCACCTTCTGCAAATACAGCTCCTTTACATACAATCTGTCATAGGAAAAGGGAGGATGTGCTCCCTTCTTTTCATCATGACATGGAGGGGGAAAAAAAAAAAAGGGTGTAGTTTTATACAATTTTCTGTATGCTTTCCTGCTTATCATTACACCTTGGTTTTCTTTGAATTTATAGAATAACTGGTACGACCACAGCAGTTGGTAAGACTATGATATCAAGTACATGTCATGTACTTACCTATCAAGTACGTTGACTGAGAGAATTACTTTTATTCTGCTTAAAATTACTGTATTTGTTTCGGCCATATAATTGCTAAAACACAGTATTTAATTCACAGAGTTTAGACAAAATTGGAAGGTATGTTAGCTAAATACGCCAAATCTCTCACTGGAAACAGCTGAGAAGGTATATATTATGTCCTGTAGACTAACCAAACTGATCGAAAGCATAATACAGGAGAGAGTCTGTAAACACGTGGATAAATATGATGTACCATCAAACAGTCAGTATGACTTTGCCTGAGTAAAGAGGCCCACAGAGACAATCATGAGCAATATTACTGAAATTAAAATACTGTAGTCAGAGCCAAGATTACTGTCGTCTTGCAGCAACGTGGAGGATGGTCTCTGATGATTTAAGATAGAAATAAAAGCCCACTCTTACCTTCTGACTTCGGTACCTATTTGAAATTGTAGGCAATGAAGCCAGATTGAAAAATATTTCTAGGCTCCTATGATTTAACAAATAACATTCTCAGTTATCACAGTAATTATTGTAAATTGTTCTTCCTTTTATTACCTTCACAATCCCAGCCCTACAGCTGTGTATTGTATTTTATACATCCTAGGATCAAAAAAGCAATCCTTATGGATGCAATGCAATTGTTCTTCTGTACCTGGAGACTCTTCTATATTTTAAATTACTGCAATGACAATACATTCTTTCCTAGTTCAGCAACACCTCTCCTGAGTAAATAGCATGCAGCTGGTGAGCTCTGGGAGACAGAAATTATACTCTGCTTCTCTCTACCCTACTCATTGCAAAACTGAATTCCTTTCCAGCGTGAAGGCAAACAAGAAGTTCTGTTAATCTTTCATGTGCTGGAAGCTCTCTAATGTGACTTTTAATACCGTATTGATTAACAAGACTGTCAAAGTACACGTATTGGTGAACTGAACTCCTGGCAACAAGGACTGATTAGTGGTTAAAAATATTTATAACTTTAGTATTCAATGAAACACTCACTGTATATGATACACAAATCAGAGTTGTCACAGATTTATCATGAACCAAACGTGGCATCTTCAGCATTAAAACTCTAAGCCCATTAACTCTCACCTGTCCTGGATCCAGACACCTTTAAAAGCAGGAATATCACACATACATTGAACATACAACGACTGAAGATTTCCTCTGCCAAGAGCTATTCTTGCTGTGTTGCCATTTCTTTGCAGATTGAAGGTTAGAAGTCCTTTGGGTCAAAATACCTCACAATACAGCAGATGAGTAACAGAATCTTTCCACATTACTTAAAAGAGAAGCAAAAGGCCTCCTATTTGGCTCCTCCCTATTGCTTTTCAGGCAATTGCAACATTTCAAAGCACAACTGTCAAATATTTCTAACAAACAATAGGGTTAATTTTGCTTCTGAACTTAGTTTTAGAGAAGTACAGCAGAACAAATGAAGAGATGTAAAAAATTAAAAAAAAAAATTTAGAAGCAAAGCAAGTAATTCGCTTTGGCTCTTGGAGGCATTCTGAAAATCGATGAAGAGCTAAAACACACATGAAACATGAACAATT